TGACAACGCACACTTTATAAGCTCTAGTGGTTGGCATCTTTAAAAAAAAGTCAAAAAGTCCAAAAAGTCACCCATACTTATCTAAAATACACTATCATTCGTGCATATAGAGATCTGTACGTGCTATGCGCATCTACTATTGCACGATTCAGCTCTATAACAATTTCTCTCTTGACACGTGTTTAGCGTGTCGTTTGGTCCTTTCAGTAACGTTGCTAACCCGGCTTTATATCTATAAGTGAGAGAGTCCAAATAAGTCATTATCTGTTATTACGTATACTAATTCAATAGCAGGATATCTCTCAGAATGAGTAATCTCAAATAGCACACAAATCTCTGTATGTAACAATACTTCTATATTATATAATAAGCTCAATAACATTACAGTATATAATATCGAGAAATTCCTATACCTCGTGATAGTTCTCTGATATATTTGTACTTTATTATTTATAGTATCACTTAATCTATGACATGTAAAATTTTTAAAAAATTTTTTTACATTTACCTTTTTAAGTGTATTTATGTTAGATGTGTCTTAAAAGTAAAAAAAAAATGTTTAAAATATTAAAATATAACCTTCAAGTAAATAAAAAAAATCACCCTATGAATAATAAAAAACAGATAACTTGTTTCTAGATATAAAAAGTCGTTTCTCTTCTGAAATATAGTGCACAAACAAGCCCAGCCAATCTCTACTATCTCCGAACCACACCTGTGTCTCGAACCTTACGAGAGAAGAACGCAACACAGAGGCATACAATTGTATACGCGAATAAACCAAAAACTCACATCTAAGATTTATTTAAAAGAGTAATAAGTTAAGATGTGAAAAGTCTTAGTGGAAACTTAAGAAATTATACATAGCTATATATCGACAAACCGAAACTACACAACTAGATAATTTGCTAAGAATCAGTTCGCCCACCCTTCCTATCCACTCTCAATCGACTAAGAGTATAACGCATAAACCCAAAAGGAAACATATTAGGTATTGTTTTATGAGCGTAGAGTTGTCCTACACACTTGTCGTATTCTCCTCCTCTCTACCACGCTGTGAGCTATTCTGATGTATACTTTATTACTATACTGCAAAAAACCTATCTCTTGACCATAACACACGACTCCTGAAGGATGTCTATATTAATCGTCGCGTGTGTAGTATCTGATATGAGAATACAAAGCAAATGTTATCTTACAGAGCGTCAATATTGCTCGTGAGTGGATCACTGGCATGCAGTTTAGTTAAGTGATAGAGTACGATATGGAGATTTTTCTAAAAATTAACTTTCTCTACCACACTTCCTGATATCTTTTGAAAATAAGCTACTATCCGGTTATCTTTCCGGGTGTCCTCCCGAACGTCCGCCGCGTTGAAAAGAACAATAACCTTGCTTGTTTCCATTTTTCAAAAAACATTTATCAGAAAATTCTATTTTTTATTTTTGTATTTTTTTTATTTTTACTGAATTTTAATATTTTAAACATTTTTTTTTTACTTTTTAGACAACATCTAACATAAATACACTTAAAAAGTGTAAAAAAATTGTAAAAAAAATTTTTTTAAAAATTTACTAAATACTAAAAATATTAAAAAAATACAAGAATTCAGTAGATTTTTTTGTATTTTTATGTATTTATTAATTTTTTAAAATATTTTACAAATTTTTACTTTTTAGATACATTCTAAAGGTTTGTTTGAACATGTTCTAAATAAGGCACTTTTTGACTTTTTATGAAATATGGGTTAGATTTGAAGTGATGTGATAGAGATGTGATGTAACTTAAATAAGATGATGTGACTTAAATAAGATGGTGACTTTTGACTTTTTGACTTTTTTTTTAAAGATGCCAAACTTAGCCTAAGTAAGGTGCATCTAAAGAAGTAAAAAAAAATGTTTAAAATCTAAAATAATATTCACTAAAAACAAAAAAATACGAAAACTAAAAAAATCAATTTTTAAAAAACTTAATTCAGAAAACTCAAATCAAACACACTGAATATTTTTTTTTTTGGCAATTGACACATGTTATTTTTTATATTTTAAATTAAAAATATTTTTTAAATTTTTTTATAAGTTTTGAATAAAATTTTGAGTTGTGTATTTGGTTATGAGTTGTAAGTTTTTAAATCAAATATCATATGTCACATCAAAAATTTTAAACTCATAGCCAAACAAATTTTTCATACTCAAATTATAATTTCAAAACTCACAAATTTAAAAAAAAATTCTATTCTCAAATCGTAATTCTAAAATTTTACCCATCGCTACCATTTTTTATGCAAATTGCAAATTACAATAAGCCCTCAAACTTCAATGAGAAGAAAAGGAAAGAAAAGGATTTCCCTTTCCCCTATTCACCTTCAAAACACTAAAAAAATATAATGAATATAATTTCTGATTAATAAGGGGAGAAAAAAAGCATGCCATGGTTTTGATTTGGTTTTCTTGGAAAAATTAGCCTCCGTTTGGGAAGTGGGTTGGCTTTTTGACTTTTTGGCTTTTTTGGCTATTTTAACCTGGGCTAAAAAGCTTGGTTTGGGAAGGGCTTTTTGGCTTTTTGGCTTTTTTTTGTGAGAGAAGAGTGTAATGATTATGGATTGGATGTGATGTTTTGTTTGTTGTGACTAAAATAGCCTGTTTTGTCTTTTGTGGCTATTTTAACCCCAACCCACTTGCCAAACACCACAATATCATGGCTTATTTGAAAAAAGTTAGATTTTCATTTACTTCCCTAGATTTTTTTTCTTTTTTCTTTTTGGTCTCTTTAGAAAGTTAAAGAAGAAAAGCAAACCCATATATAAAGAAAACAAAAAAGGCTAGGAAGAAGCCTCCATTAATGATCAACATCATCCACTATACAAGATTTCAAGACATGAAAGACTATTAATTAAACCTTACTTCTACCAAAGAAACATTGAGACCTACTCAAACTTTTATTTTAATTTTTTTTTGTTTTTGTTTTTGTTTTTTATCTAATAATAAGAGAAGGATGAATCATCTACTTGTGATGTGCTTGCTGATCTTGTGTACTTCTTGGACGGTGACGATGAGGATGAGGATGAGGATGAGGATGAGGATGATGAAGACGATGGGGACGATAACAGATCACCTGACCTTCTCCTCAGCATCTGCCTCATCCCATCTGCAACTCGAATGGCGGGGTTCGATTTATATTTTCGACAAAACGACATGTGAGCCTTCACAGCTTCTTCCATCTCAGACTTCCCTCTGTGTACTTCATCCCTAACAGCTTCTGAGCACAACCCACATAGCCATTTCCCATCAAATTTGGATTTCACTTCATTGATGTAGTCTTGGGTGCAGTCTTCTTTCAACCCACAACACTCACACTTCGCCAATTCAATCTCCATATCTTCTTCTTTTTTCTTTTTCTTTTTCTTTTTTTTTTTTTGATTTTCTAGCACTGAAAGGATTTGAATTCTTAGAAGGTATGGTTGCTTTCTAGTAGGATATGTATGATAATTTTCATCATATAGTAAGAAAGTGGATATCTGTTTTTGGGCTATGGTTTCTTAATTGGGGGGATTGATGGCTTTGGTGCCATAAGAACTAAGAAGTGTTGGGTGTTTGTATGAGAGCCTTTGTGGTTGGAAAGACTCGTGAAGGAGAGGGAGAGAGAGAGAGAGAGAGAAAGAGGGAGAGGGGAGGAACTTATAGTAAGGAAAGCTTGAGGAAATAAATAAATAAATATAACAGTGATATAGGCCTAGTTTGGGAAGACTAAATAAATGTACTTTTTGATTTTTTTTGTATTATGTGTAGAAAAAGTAGAGAGGAGATATTGATTAATGTGACCCAAAAAAGATAAAAAGATTAAATAAGTGCACTTTTTTCTTTGTAGCCAAACTTGACCATAGTGTCACTATTGACACCTAGGTGGCGTTTGATTTTGGCTTTTTTAGTTGATTTTTTAATTTTTTTGGTAGTGTTTGACAAGTGGCTTTGGGACTAAAATAGTCACAGAAGACAAAATAGGCTATTTTAGCCACAATAAATAAAATATCACATTTAACTCATAATCATTACACTCTTCTTTCACAAAAAAAGTCAAAAAGACCAAAAAACCCTTCTCAAACCAAGTTTTTTAGCCCAGGCTAAAATAGCCAAAAAAACCAAAAAGCCAACCCATTTCCCAAACGGAGGCTTAGTTTGAGACTTTTTTAGTCGTTTGGTATTCTTGTTTGATTTTTTTGACTTTTTGGCTTTAGAATGACAAAATTGCCCTTAGTATAGAATGACACTTTTTTGACTTTTTATTTGTATATGGGATATTTTAGTACTTTTGTAGTTTTTTTTGTCTTTTTTGTAATTTTGTAGCTTTTTTTTTTTTTGTCTTTTGTGATTATATAGCCTGGGAGGAAAACCAAATCAAGGCTTAATATTATCATTCAATAATAAAGTTGCGGATAATAAATTTTGGGGATAATTACAAAAAGAATTCGAGGTTTAAGTCTTGTAATAAAATAAATTATGAATTTTTAATTTTGTTAATTTAAATCTCAATTTTTTGGTTTATTTTTAATTTAAACCATTCACCTATTTTTATTAAGGAAAATCGGCATAAAAAGAGTATTTTAGATTTAATTTATTATAAGGGTCAAATCTTAGAATTTTATTTTGTTGTAAATTTTCCTAAATTTTTCTATATAGATGTGATAGTTATATTTAAATAGTGAATTTTATCGTCATGTATTGGTTTATTGTGCTTATTTGGCGTAATTTTTCTCTAGTTGACAGTTGATAATTGAAATATATAAGTTAAAAGCATCCATTCTCTAGCTTTCATATAATTAGTTGTTTTTGTTTTGTTTTGTTATTTTTTTCTAGCTTAAATAAGTTATTTCTTTCTCATAAAGCTATAAGCATAAGTTGCCTTAAACATTTTGATACAAATTTTTTTAATTAAAAAAAAAAGTTATAAGAAGCTTTAAGAAAAGAATAATCCTTCGTAGCTCGAATCTTTCTTTCCCGAATCTCTCGATTGCCCAAAACGACGTCATTTTGGGCAGTTTTTTTTTTTTTCCTTCCTTATGTCTGAAACAGAGAGAGCAGAGAGAAGAGAGAAGAAGAGAAAGAGAAAGAGAAAGAGAGAAAGAGAAGAGAGGGGAAGAGGGAATGGAGAGAGAGAGGGTCGATCGCCGCCATCTCCACCTCTGCCTCCGATCGTCGCAGCTCGGCCTCCAATCTCTGATCTTCACCTCCGATCTCTGTATGAGGATGATGTGTTGAAGTTTTTTTTTTTCAAATTTTTACATTTTTTTTGTTGTTGATCTCTATGGATGATAATGTGTTTGGTTGATGATGATTATTCTATCTCTCTCTCTGCTGTGTTGATGAAGATGTGTTGGGTGGTTGATGATGACGATTCTCTCTCTCTCTCTCTCTGCTACTCTCCTATTCTCTTCTTTCTTCTTCTTCTTCTTTTTTGATTTTTCTTCTTCTGCCAGTTATTAAAAAAAAAAAAATCAAAATGACGTCGTTTTGAATTATGGCCAAATTCGAGTTCAAAAATTTTGAACTACCTAACATAACTATTAAGAAACCGCATCAAATAGGGCCATGAATTTTTATTTTGAAAACGTGTATCAGTATATTTGATACAATTTTTATTTATTACTTACTAGATAAAAACAACTTAAATAAATTAATTATTAAAATATTAAAAGAGAAATGCTTTTAATTTCTATCCTCTAATAGTGAATTTTCAATTTGCAAAATGGTACACCAAATGAAAACCCATTATTATATAGGAGTGATGACATTGAGTTGAATTTTTACTAGGGATTGCCACAATTTCCTCCACGTTATGAGGGGACAAGGGCCAGTGGAAAATGAGGCGATGTGGTCAGGGAGGGGTAGGGACTCTTTTGTGTAGCCCTTTCTACCATTTAAATTTAAGACTCTACTTGCCTTTGTCATTTTCTCTATTGTTTTTGTTGTTGTCACAATAGGTTTATTTATTTATTATTATTTTTTGAAGGGGGTTGATTGACAGTTACTTTCGGTTGGCATGGTTGAATTGCTTGAAATGGCTTCACTTGCCCCTAACTGGCTCTACTTTTGGCTTGGCTTTGTATATTGGTTGTCTTCATGCCATGCATTTGAGTCACTACTTGGCTTTTTATAGTCCCATGTTAAAAATTATTATAAAAAAATTATACCAAAAAAATAAAATCATAAAATGACACGAATGATGGGATAGTATTAATTTTGTAAATAAAAATTATTTTTGTAAGTATTTTGCCGCTAAAGAGAAATTTTGCTTGTATTTTTTGTTTATAAATTATTACTCTATGAATTAACAAACAACAAAAAGAAAGTCCGGTGTAAAGGGAAAGAAACCAACTCAAAAAGAAGGGGCCGAGTTGCGCTAGAGGTTCATCAATCAATCACTACTAAGTTTGTCTCCTAATTAGCATCAATTCTTGACAGTGAGCCGAATAATGAGTCATAAGAATAAAAATAAAAATTTTGCCCATGCATCAGCACGTTGATTTTCTTTCGGAGAGTTGTATGGGTTAACATATCAACCGGAAATTATACATTAGTCCCAACCATACTTCATTGACCAATTAGGGCTGTGTGGTTTAAGGACCAATGATTGATTAAATGGATATGAAATATAATTGGTTTTTGTTTAGTATTTAACCTTACACATGTTGATTAAATGTGTAGCTATCACAAGTTTATAGACATGCTTTGATTAAGTTTTATTAGCAAGATTTTACTTTTAAAAAGAAAAGAGAGAGAGATACATATGTCTTGCAATGAAATCATCTCGTACCTAAACAAGGAAAAATAGTTTGCAATGAAAAGTTTCTGTTGTAAATATATATTTTCTTTTCGTAAAAAGTACTTAAGTAAGTACATATCTTCTCTACGTAAAAAGTATTTGTGATGGTAACGTGATGATCGATAAAGAAGGGGGCTAGTGAAAAATATAGTCACAAATGACATTATTTAAGATAACATTTAATCTTGTTACAAATAAATTTATTTTTGTAATGATATCTTTCCAATTATATGTTTGTGTAATGTGTGTATTATAGCTAAACCATCTCATTTTGCCGAAACACTAAAAATGTAATATTTTCCTAAAACACAATTACTTTTTGAAGGTATATGGTTGCGAGTAAAGCGAGAGCTCTTCCCAATTATTGTAAATTGAATTAAGTGTTCTAATTTCTTTAATTTTCTTTCTCTAGAAACCAAGGAAAGCGTAGTGCAAATAACTAAATTTTACTTCTTTTCCTTTTAGTATTTTGAAATAAAGAGTATCTTTTTTCACTTTCTTTTCATTTTATTCTTTTTGGATTTAGTTTCTTTTGATTGCTTAAAAACAAGCGATCTAGTCATACCTTTTGTGATCCGCAGTTATTTTTTACACAACAAAAAAAATAATTATTAACATAAAAACAAATGTAAAGAAAAAGTATATCATGATTACATCAATAAGGGCTACGGTAAACATGCATCATTGCTATAGACAGTTGAATTTGACAACCCAAGAAATTGATAAGATGACTGTGGAGTTTCACGTGTTGTCTTGCACTTTATGTGCACAACTTTTTCGACCATGACTGGTACATTTCAAGCAACATTTTTGTTTTTTTTACTTAGAGAAGGTGAGTTCTCTTGATTTTTGTCAAAGTTTCTATGTGCTATGCACATTGATTTGCTAGTTGTATGTTGAATTCTGTGGTTTGCCTATAGTAGTCTTACCCTTTATGTGTCCTCACTATTGGAAACAACGACACCAAAGATTAATTAATGGGAAAAGTTAGGAATCATGAAATTTTTTTCATGAAAATGATCATGAAAGATTTATGATCTTTGGATTACCTTGATTAGTGTGTGGTGCTTTGTTCTAAGTATAATCTAAGGGTCACAAAGCTTTCATAATTATTTTCATGAAAGATTTTTCATGATATGTAGCATTGCTGTTAATTAATTTTGCATACAGTTATTGTTGCATCATTTACATGTACATTAGTCCACACTCATTGATTCAACCGTCAATATCATCCTATATTTTTTAAAAGAAAAAGGTTAGAGACACAAAAATCAACCCTAAAAGTTAGAACTAACCATAGAACACTCATATGCCTGTAAATCTGTGATTGGTTATGTGTCTATATTATTGTTGTTTTTAGAGTCATTTCATGACTCTTAGCCGATTAATGGTATGTTTTACGACCTAACAATAGGCTGAGCTAGTTTGGGTCGGAGCTAAGGGCTTTGCTTGGTCAAGTGTTGGGTACGCGCTTGACTGAGGTCTTGGTCCGGTCAAGTGGGGACAACTTTAAGCTACTAGCTCGGTATCGACGTGTGTTTCGTTAAGTTGGACGAAATTTGTTCTCAGAAGACTAGATTCGACCGAGCAGAAGCTCGGTCGTTACTGTGGAGCTCGGTTGGGCCCACATTCAGGTTTGACTGACGAGACTAGACGAATAGCACGATCCTAAGTGAAGGGCGCGATGCCGCACTAAGTATAGTTCGATGGGAAGTACTGCATGGCGTGATGGGACTGCGGAAAGAAGATTCCGCCGTCGGTACTTGTCAATACCGTTTGGCGGTTTCGTCATTTGGTGTTTAGCTGTATTAGTGCTGGCACGTGAGAGAACGTAAGAGGAGAGCAGGTCCACGCGTCC